TAAGGTTCTGGCCCTGTGCTCCATGTGCCTTTGGGAAGAGCCCTGCAACCTCTGCTTCTGTTCAGAGGGTCCACAGGCCAAGGTGGGCTCAGCACTGAGCTCTGCAGGGCATGGCTCAGGGCCTGGGTACAGTAGTCTCAGTGCCTCTGACAGCCAAGTGGGCACCAATGGCAGCCTTGTCCTCTCTTTGTCTATACCTTCTGACCCACGACTGTACCCTGCTGTGTTGGTGTCCTCACCTACAACATGGGGATGATTAAAATCACTGTCTGAAATGTTCCATGTGATTTATAACTAACAAATGCAAAGCAGCTGCTCAGAGCCCAGCACCCAGCAGGAGCTCAAAAGGCAAGAAGGTGGAAGAGGGCTGAGAGGCTGCCTGGATCCTTCCCCCAGCTGCAAGATATAAGGACAAGTAAGTTTCAGGCAGTGCCAGCTTGGGTTCACTATGTCCACTCACAGAGACCAGCCTCATACTGACTTCTAGGAAGGCAGAGGAATTTGACTTCTGAAAGGCAGGACTATTCGTGGAAAGCACAGTGGGGGTCTTCAGTTGGAGGAAAGGCTAGCGACTGAGAGTTCAGACTGTAGCTCAAGCCCCTGCCCTGCTGAACCTCAATTTCCTCACCTGTAGCACATGAATTTCTGTGGGTGCTTCAAACCCCAACAATGTATCTGCAACCTGAGCTCAGAGGGTAGGACATCTGACCTCTCCATTCCCCCAGACACATGCCCCAGAAGAGCAGGAGGCAGTGAGGTGGCATCCCCTGCTCCGAGAAGCAGAATTCCTGGTGGAGACCTGGGGGTCAGAGCCCTGGGCCCCCACCCGGCCAGGCCAGGCCTGCCTCACAGAGGGCCAGCAGTTCTAAGCTCTTAGCTGGGCCCAGGAGCAGGACAGTCCAGTTCAGGGCTCCCAATACAGCAAAGGTAGGCTCCCCTTGCCTCTTCCATTCTGTCAACTGTAAAATCTGCCTCTCACAGAAAGGCCAGGTAGCTGAGGATGTAGCTCAGCGGGAAAGAATTTATCTAGAATGCTCAAGGGCTTGGGCAGTTCAGGCTGGCAGCTTGAGGAGGGTTCCCCACCCCTCTACCATGGCCACACTGTCTCCCAGGAAAGGTGCTTGAGGCAATGTATCATGCTTCTCAAAATTCTTCCAGTCTCTGGCCATTTCTGGGTTCCAATTCCAAAGCTACCTACCTCCATTGTTTGGGGTTTATAGCAGCACTCTACTTTGGATGACAAAGTCTATATTAGTTTTTCATGGTTGCTGTAAAATATTACAAATTTAGTGACTTGAAATACCACAAATTTATCATCTTACAATTCAAGAGGTTGGAAATCCAAAATGTTTCACTGGGCTTAAAATCAAAGTGTCAGCAGGATTACATTCTTTCCAGGGCTCTGGAGAGAGGCTGTCTGCATTCCTTGGTTCTCGACTCCTTCCTTCAGCAACCACATCACTTTGACCTCATTTCCATTATCACACCTTCTTTCGCTCTGACATTCTTGTAAAGACAAGGGTCTTCTTATAAAGACCCTTGTGACCACACTGAGTTTACCCAAATAATCCAGGACAGTCTTTTCATCTCAGAATTCTTAATCACATCTGCAAAGTTCCTTTTGCCACAGAAGGTAACAGTCACAGGTTTTGGGGAATGAGGACGTGTGCATCTTTGGGGGCCATTATTCTAACTACCAAAGGAGGGTTAGGTTGTTTGCCAGTCTCAAACCAGTCCAGGAATCTTATCCAGGCCAAAGGGGTCATGTAGGGGGATCAGGTCATTGCTCTAGTCACCATCTTGGCTGCCCGTGGCCAAGAGCTCCAGGAAACCTGGTGCCTGCCTCTACCACTGCCAAGGACAGCCTGTTCTCCTGGTATGGCTATCATGCAGGGATCAGGTGCACTTGAGCCCCCATTGCAGCAGTGGCTCAACTTGAACAGCTGCCTGGCTCAGGCAGGAGGCCAGGCCCTCATGGCTTCCTCTGCTGACCAGAATACATAAGAGTTGCAGACTGGTCAAAGGTGGGCCATGTTGGGAGTTCCAGCCCTATTCTAGAAAATGTTCACTTTATCATTTTATTGGTGGATGTCTACTGAACTTGAGTATCCCAGACTCCCAGGGGGCCCCAGAGATGTGACAGGAAGGTTTTCAAATGCATGGGACATAACATCATTGGCACCAGCAGACATGGGCTGGGGCAGGCAGGGAAAATGGAAAGGTCAGAGCTGGTGTTCCAAAGGAAGAAGGATTTGCGTTGGAAGTGGGATGAGCCATGGTTTGGACCAGCGGTGGCAAGCAAGGGTGCAGAGAAGGTGTGTTCTGAAAGTGAAAAGTACTGCAAAAGTGAAAAGGGAGACCGAAGTCCAAGGCAATAGAGAGAAAACTATGGGTGAAAGACACACCAGTTTGCAGAAGTGAAAGGGTTTCCTAGCTCAGGCCATTAGTTCTCACTCCTGTCAGCAGTGAATGCTTTGTTCTGATTGCAGCTTATAGAGTGCCGACAGGGCCAGGGAAGGGTCTCCAGGACTTTTTCCATGGTTGTTCCCCACCTCTACAGACCCAGACTCTGCAGAACACAAGAACCAAACTTAGGTCCTGGAAGGCCACCCAAAGGTTTAGGACAAGGACTGGGAACAAGGAATGGCCCAGGGTGCAGGTGGGAGCGGAGAAGCAGAAAAGGGTATATTTCTAGCAGTCAGGAGTTTGGGGGTATATTTCAATAAAGCAGCTGGCTGCTGGCTAAGTCTTATGAAGCAGCTAGGGAAATCACCCAACTGTGAGGCAAGGCCTGTTTCTGCAACCAGCAGAGAAGGGGATGGGATTTTTCTCCCAAAGCACCTCAAACAGGGATTCCTCTTGCCAGGTTCTGGGATCTGGCCGAAGGAGACCTGGGGCAGCAGGCATGTCCCTCAAGACCTCAGGGGTCTACGGAGGCTGCACTGTGTACCATTAGCTCCACATCCTCCTCCTATTCTGACTCCAAGGCCTCCTTGATGTGCGCCACAGGAGGTGGCTCAAGTCTCTGGCTCTGGTCTCAGGAATGAGGGAGGGGACAGGGCAGGTGAACCTGGTTTTCCCTGAGCAGAAGCCATGGGCTGCCTTAGCCTGGGCCTCATTTCACTCAGATCCATGTTTGGAGGGCCTGAGGGAATATGGGCTGCCAGGTCATCAGCCTCTTGGTGGTTCCATCCCCAGCTGGCAGGGAGAAGCCAAGAGCTCAGGACTGAAATCTTTGTTGCCCTTCCTTTCCAGACTGCTCTGTCTCTGCCTGCAAGCATCAGACACAGGAGGCTATAGGGTCTTGCCTTCCTATGTCTGTGGTCCGAAGTAGGCTATGAAAACACCCACAATGTGCTGAGAATGTTACATGCCATGGGCTCCTCACAACCATCCTATAAAATAAAGCACTGGTTCCATTTCTCAGGCTTAGAGGCCAAGGCTGAGTAAGGTGAAATTATCTGCCCAAGGTCACTTCCTGGTGAGGAGATTCCAGGACCTAAACCCTGAATGGCGTGGTCCCAGACTGCGGCTGCCCAGACTCCAGCGGCCAATCAAGCGAATGGCAACAGGCTTGAGGCCTTGCTTTGCCAGTTGCTTGCCTTGGACCTTATCTCCAGCAGAGCCAAGACTCACATTTTTCCGGGAAGAAAATTGTCCCAAAGGGTGGCTCCTGCTCCACTGACCCCAGCTGCCCCTACACTGTCACTCTCCATTATTACACTCTCTTGGGTGCCACATGCCAGACACTAGGGTTCTGGGACCTCTGGCCTGGCCTCTGCCAAGGCAAATGTGCTCCCCAGCCATAGGGGCAGGCAACACTCAGAGTAGGCATAACTCCGGCAATATAATTTTCCTAAGGTGGGGACCTAACTTCCTGTCTCCACCTGGCCATCCTATCATGGGCCCTCAGACAGGCTACATCTTCTGTTGGTGCCTTGGACTATCTGTCTGGACAGTAGATACTCAGCTACCAGCTTGCATCTTCTGCTTGGCCAACTGAAAGAAAAACAAGGGTGCCACTTTGCATTGCCCTTGGACTCAGAACCAGCTCCTCCTTCACAGGAAAAGGAGCTGCCTGTGGTCCCACTGCAAGACATAGCCCTGGAACTCAGTCATCCTGGCTCTAGCAGAGAATGCTGCCCACCAGACACACTGCCTCTGGCTAATGCACTTAGGTCAGGCCCTTTAAAGTGCCAAGTTGTAGGGAAGAGAGTCTGTTGGCATGTCATGCTCCTAACCTGATGTCACAACCTAACCTGATGCAGCCCCATGCCAGCAGTGACCAAACTAGAGGTTTTCCATTGCTGTTGACATGGACACAAATCTGCAGAGACTACAGCTGGAGGGGAGGTCACAACTTGGTATTCACTGTCTTGGCTTCTCATTTTCTCTGGCCCCAACCAGGAAAAGATGAGTGAATTGAAACCTGAAAGTTAACCTGGGAGAGATGTTTAGCTAAAAGGTGCAGGAATATTGGCACACCCCTGTAATCCCAGTTGAGGTATTACAATCAGGAGGCTGAGGCAGGAGGATCACCACAGCCTGGGCTACAAAGTGAGTTCAAAGCCAGCCATAGTGAGACTCTATCGCAAAAAACCAGTCAATTAATCAACCAATAAAAGATACAGGAATAAAGGTAAATAAAAGCCCTGCTCAGCCGCACTGGCTAAAGCTTTCAGTTAGGCGAAAGTGAGCATGCAACTCCAGAATTGTGTGCTGAGACTCCTCAGCCCCAACCCTTCTGGAAGCATGCTCAGAGCCTGGGCCCAGCCAGGGAACTGTGCAAGTGCACTTGCTGGTGGAGGACTAGTCAATGCTAGAAGGGAGCTCTCAGTCCAGGGCTCTATGGTATCAAGGACAGGAGTGAGTACCCTGCCCCCACCAGGCAGGGAACTGGGAGCCTTGCTGGGGCAGGAAGAAGCTTTCACCCTTGCACCGTCTAGGGATTAGGGGTCAGGGACCCATAAACCATGATAACAAAACCACTGGGTTGCCACTTGTCAGTCTCTTGATACTTTACTGTCCACATTTCCCAGGACCTGTACAGCAATTCCACCAAAAAGAACACGGAGGACCGGGATTTAGCTCAGTGGCTTTGCTGCCTGCTGTGGAAGTGCAAGGACCCAAGTTCAATCCCTGGTAACAAAAAAAAACAAAGAACATGGACCTGTCCTCAGTCACAGTGGTGTGATGGAGCTAGACTGGGAACCTGAATCTGCCCAGCTTCCAAGCCAAACTGTGGATGCCCCGCTTTTTTGCTGCCCCAGGAAGGACATGCCCATCCTTGTTTCCAAGTGTCTCAAAAGTGTGCACCATAAGGAATCACAGAACCATGGGAATGCTGCAAGCACCCGGGGTTCTAGAAAGCACCATCTACCACTCCAAGAAGGGTCAGCCAGGCACTCAGGCAGGCTGGGGCTCTGGCAAAGTATCTGTAGGGCAGCCACACTATGGCTCAGACCTCTGCACATGCAGGAACCGGGGCCTGAGGAGAAAGGAGTAAGACCTGGTTAGTGCCAGAGCATGTGCAGTGGGCGAGAAGAGCACTCATCCCACAGCTGGACAGGGGAAGGACCACTATGGCCATGGAACTGGGGGTGGGTAGGGCCTTACTTCCCACAGAAGTCCTTGTGCACAGCCACAAGATTCAGGTACAGATCAGGCCGACTTTGAAGCCAATTGTTGACAAGCTCTGGGTGCCTTGGGTCCACTTCCAAGAAGATGCTCCTACATGGGGAGGAAATGGGTCAGCTCAATTGGGCAGGGCCAGGACTTGCACTTCTAGGTTGCCTGGGCTGGGAGAGGTGGAGGCAGAATAACTGCCAGGGTGTGCCCAATACACACTGGGAACAGAAAAGCTAGGTAAAGACGCAGGAGACCTGTTCCAATCATACCCACAGTCCTTCAGGAGTCGAGGTGCCAGGGTCAAGATGTTGGTAATGATGTCCATGCCCTCCTCCCCACCATCCAGGGCCACTGGATCTTCATAGCTAAATGGGTAAATGGTAACGGGGTGAGACCTTGGTTGGTGGGGGACAGGGGAACACATGTCTGAAAAGTAGGAGATCCAGGCAAGACTTCCACAAGGCAGGGTTCCCTGAAACTCAGACTCCGGGATGAGAGGCAAGTGTGGGGACCCAGGGGAGGTGGTCCCCCAAAATAGAAGGCAGCTCCTACATCCCAACCTACTGGGGGCAGCATCCCCTCTAGACAGTGCCCAGCATGTTGCTGAATCCCATTACAGCCTGCCCCAGAACCTCCAGGGTCTCCCCTCAACAGGGTGCTCACAATGAGATTTGGTCTGGGAGGTCCAGAGCCTCTGAGAACCACCTCCGAGAACCCAGAAAAGGGGAGCCAGCAAGGGTTCCTCGGCTCCCCTGATCCTCAGCCCAGGTAAAAGCAGGATGGCTTATGCAGTCTGAAGAAGGGTTTTAGTTTCAGGTTTCCCATTCTGTCCCCATAGGACCTTCCCTCTTTAGACCTGTGTTCTATAAAATGACACACCCACCTATTCATCACCTTCTATGAACCCTCATGGTGTCCAGTGTCACTGAGGCTTCCCCGTAGCCCTGCAAAGCACTATTGGTTCTCCTTCAGAGGCAGGAAACTGAGGCTCAGAGAGGAGTCTCAAGTGGGAAGCATGAGAGGGAAACTGAATCTAAGTAAGACTGTGGGCTCTAAAACATAGAGTACCTCTCAACACTGCTGCCCCTCTCAGCTGACACCCACCCCCACCTCACCAGTGTGGTCCTCCAGGGCAGCCCAATCCCACTAGGCTTTCTGAGGCCTGCCCCACTCGACACCTGCGGATCTCTGGGGCCAGCTGCTCCATGTCCTGGTGGAAGATGTATGGAGGATTGCTGACAACCAGGTCCATAGGACTCCATGGCAGAAGATGTGTCCAGCTCCCCTCTGAGGTCAAAAAAGGAGACACACAGCATAACTAGTTCATTGAGAAAAAGGGGTGATAGTTTCACCTGCCACCATGTCCCTTGGGTAGTCTCTCTTCTGAAGCCACATCTCAGGCCTGTCTCCAGACCTGATAAGCCACACTTAAAGATTAGTGCCCAGACTTCCCTAGCCAGTAGCATGACCAGGAGTGTGCACGTTCTAATAGGAAAACTTTCACCTAGAATGTCCTCGCTCTCTCTCCTTTCTATCAAAAGCTCCTCACTAAGAAATATTTACCTCAAGTACCACCTCCAGGAAACTCTCCATGGTTGCCTGGGCAAAGCAAAAGCCTCTTTCCTCTTCAACACCACTGGCATTGCCACACTCTACCTTACAGCCACATGGTCTGAGAAGCCATGGAGGGCAGGCCCAGCCTCAGCCAGCAGATGCCTGGCAGCTGTTTCTCAGTCCCACCTTGTACCAGGTATTACATCACCTGTATCACACACCATGGAGGAAGCATATGAGGCTAGGGATCCCATGGTAATGTGACAGAGCCAGCACTGGTGCTGGAAACCTGAGGACACTGTGAAAGCTGAAGCTGGGCCATGGAGTACTGAGTTACTTCTTCCCAGGCTGGGAAGGGTAGGGAGGGCACTCAAGCATTTTGGTCCCATGGGCCTTTTCTTAAGCCACTGTTTCTCTCTCGTCAACAAGTAAGCCATAGTAAAACTCATTAGTTATGGAGGGTTAAGAAGGTAAGAAAAACTCTGTCATTGGTCCCCTCCTGGGTCACATCAGGCAAGGAGGCAACAGCAACTTGTCCATCCTCAGCAAGGACTGGTCTGAGATGGCCTGTGTGCATGCGACTATTGGGGAACCTTCCCACCATATCTGCAGGTGCCTTGTCTACCCAGCAGCACCTAAGCCAGGATCCCCACTAGAAGGAAGATGGGTGGGGGGAGAGTACCTGAGGTCACATCAAGGGGGACAATCCAAATCCTGTCCTGCAACTGAAGCCTGGAGAAATAGGGAGGAGGGAGTGAATATGAGAGGGACAGACCCCTGCCCTTGGGTACAAGGATGAGGAGGGATAGTGAACCCTTAGACCAGCAAGATACCCAGTGCCCATATCCACTCTTAATCCTGCAGGACCAATGCCAGGCCACCCCTATTACATCTCCCTTCTCTGGAGCAGAAATCAGACACTGGTGGGTATGACAGTAAATAAAGGTCAAGTTCAAGCCCCAAGGTCCAATTCCTTCATGCTCGTCCCCTGGCTCCCCAGCCCACCTACCTCTTAGCATTCTCACAGGTCAGATTGATGGCAGCTTCCTCTTTATCCACAGCAATGACTTGGCTCTGCTCCAAGAACAAACAATGAGAGGCAGAGTGCTGGGAGAAGCAGGTCCCATCCAAGGAAGATGCATCTCCCACATGCATTTTCCATCAGAGGAAGAAGAAACTTTCAACAGTGTTTTCTTTTCTATGGCCAGAGCCTAGCCAGACAGATGGGGATGAAAGCTGGAGGCTGTACCACGTTGGACCAGGACAACCTTATCCTTCTACATCTGGTCACCTTCCCTCACGTGCTTCTAGCAGAAGGATGTGGGAGAAGGGTCCATGATGAGGCAATGTGTGTCACAATCTGGGCAGAGTAGAGCAGTGGGGTGAAGAGGAAGCTTACCTCAGGAAGCCGGGTCAGCAGGCTGAGGGAGATGGCTCCTGATCCACAGCCCACCTCCAGAATGCGGGGGCCATCTTGTCCTTCTATCACATGGGGCCTCTGGGCCATCTCCTCCAGTACCCATTCCACCAGTTCCTGTGAGGCAGAGGAGTCTAGATCAGAGCTAGTGCCAACCTGCTCCTGGGGTTCTTGGCAGAGACCCAACCAATTAGCCTGAGTAAACGTTAGAAAAGGATTTTCCCAAAGCCTGACTGACTTCAAGTCAGTTGGATCCATGGGCAGGTCTCCCTGACTTTTAATGCCTCAGTTTCCTCATCTGTAAAACTCAGCACAGTTGAGCACAACCCTCTCCATGGGGGAAAAGCCATGTTCATGAAGCACTGATCTCACACCTGGTCCATAGTAAGTGCACAATAAATCCCAGCAGAGCCCCTCCCAGATGTTCTCCTGTTTTGTGCTAAGAGAAATGCTAAAAGCTATACCTAATGGCTCCTGGCCAGTCTCTCTGTGCCTCACCCAGCTCCTGATGATTTCCTGGTATTAATCTGTTAGATCCTCACAACTGGCCCATGAGGAAACTGAAGTCCAAGGGTCAAAGCCTCACCTGGACCCTTGTCTATGGCTCACAGTGTTCTAGAATCAAAGGCTACGAGCTGTGGGTACAACTCAGTAGTACAGCCCTTGCCAGGGAGGGGAGGAGAGGGGAGGTGGGGAGGCAAATGGAGAAGGGAAAGAAGGAGGGAAAGGAAGGAAAGAAGGAAGGAAGGAAGGAAGGAAGGGAGGGAGGGAGGAAGGTGCTAGCTTTCTCATAGAGCTGAATTTGGGAGGTCCTCAGAGCAACTCTTAGGCCAAACGGACATAATTCTCTCCATGGGGCGGGGACACAGTCCTCTATCTGAAGGGGCTGTGACAAACACAGAACATGGGAAAAGGAGACGTGGGTTTGGGAAGAGGTGCCTGACTACACTGTATCCATCTTAGCAGTGGAAGGATATAGACACTCACTTTGGATACAGAAGGCTTTTGTGTCTCACCCACCATCTGCTACCTGCAGGGACTGAAGCCAACACAGGGTAGGGGCAAGGGTAGAAGGTGGCTACTGTGCAGTAGCTGAAATACTTCCAACCAGCAGTGGAGTGGAGGCCTAAGTAACCAGTCATGGAGCAGGCAAAGACACTGTGGCCCCTTCTGAAAGGTACCCTTTGGGTATGAGCAGGAGCTTGGGAGTGGCCCAGAGTGTGTGGTCTAGAGCCATGGTTGAGAGCCTGTGGTGAGGCACGTGCTAAGAGGCCAGCAGGGTGAGGAGACTTGTCAGGGTGTAAGCCTCTTGGTTTCCTGGTTACAGACTGCCTAGTCTAGCTGGAAGATGACCCATCAACCAGCCACACTGGCCAGCCACCTTTCAGAGATCTCCCTGACCTCAAACTCATACCACCTATGTGAATGGGCCCCCAGTGGCCTCTTGTTCTCCTTCCTACTCCAGATCATGGGAGGTTCATCTTGGTTATGGGGCCATCTGTGGGGTACAGTGGTGACCACCCCAGGGGGTCTAAAAAGAAGGTCCTCTTCCCCAAATAATAAAGACCCTCCCTCAGCCTGAAGCTGGGGCTCTCTGGGGGACACTGAAAGCTGAACTGGTCACAGGCCCTGGGCATCTCCTCTGGTTGAATATGGGAAGAATTCAAGAGCATGGTGGGTCAGAGGGACAGGGGCACACGGGCAGGAGGGAGCAGGCAACTGCTGTCCACTGTCCCAACGTGGACTCCACACTCCCCTAAGAGGCTGACCCAAGGCCTCAGCAGAAAGAGTGCCATATGTGCCCTCCATTAGGATCCCAGGAAGGTAGTACTGCCTCTGCCAAACACATTGTAGACAAAGCATTGAACGTCCCAGTCCCCACACAACCTTACCACACTAGGGCGGGCCAGATGGCTCACACCCCAGCCTTGGGTTTCCTACTGTACACACTGCCATGTGGGAGACTCAGCCACCTACCACCCGGAGGGAAACCCCAACTCGTCAGGCCACAAGCCACTTGTGACTCTGTACTTCAGACTTCTGCACCCATCATCAGAAACTACCCTCAGTGGATGAAGAAAACAGGCACCATGCTCCCCTGCACCCTTCTCCCCACTCCCTGCCACAGGCCACATCCTCTTGAGTTCTTGGTAAAGCGTCCCTGCCCCACTGTGGCTGAATGCTGGGGCAAGCCTGATGAGTTCTCAGAAATCTCTGTACAGTCGGGTAGGGGCCTGTCACCCAACCACAGCATCCCCCTTCCCTGTCTCTTGGAGCAAAGTTGCTTTCCTGGCTCACACCCACCCTAGAAAGGGGGGCCCCATGGAAACTAAAGCTCACACCCAGCACTCAGAAGCCTAGGACACATGGCTGGTGCCAAGTCAGTTCTGCAGTGACTCAAAGGTCATTATGAGAGCTATCCTCCCAAGTCCTGACCCTTGGCAGCCTCAGAGGATGTCAAGTGACCTCCTGATCAGAAGCCACAGGTCTGGGGAGGATACAGGGTGGTTTCTCAAAAGCCTGCAGGTGGCAGGTCATATCCTACTCTGGATGCCAATCCTACATGGGACAGCCTAAGTGCCGTGAAGAGTTGGGAAGTCTAAGTGCTATCCCCACATTCTCCTCCTTGACAGTCCTATGGCTTTATCAGGGCCTCAGAGTTCCTACTGTCCCTGTCCTAATACTGGCAGTGAGGTGAAGATCCAGTCTCCTAACCGCATGATACGGTGATGAGAGGGGTCAGAGGGTTTCTTGGAGGAGTGGGAGGGGGTCTGGAACCCTATATAGGGGAGGTGGAAGGGGGCTGATCCTTCCCAGGAAGGTTTGTGTGCCTGGGTATCTTTCTAGAAACCCTTCACAGGTCCAGGTGCCCTTGGCACTCCTGCCAGCCCCACTCAGCTCTGTCCCATTCCAGTCCTGGTTTGTTCTCTCTGGTCAGCTTTGCCATCCACAAAGTAAGAGGGAAGACCAAGAAGGGCTATAGAAACCATGTCTCCCAGGATCAGGCTGCCTCACTAAAGGGCACCATGTTTGGGTCACACATGTCCAGTTCTTATAATTTGAGGGACTGACATATATAATTAGTGAACCAGACAGTGGACTAAGAGAACCCCAAGTCACAGATTCCTTGGTCTGAAGGTCCAAGCTGTTCATCATCTGGGCCCAGAAGGGGCAGTGATCTGCCTGCAGTCACACAGCTCATACCAGGCTTCCAGAAATCTAGCTACAACTTTCTCCACTTCTATGCAACTTTCAAGAAGTTGCTAGAGGGTATTAGTTTCTCATGGCTTGGGAGGGCCATGAGGCCACAGGGTAGCTACTAGGGCAACTGTAAGAATAGGCTGCACACTTGGACAGCTCTATTTGGGGTACTCTGTCAGTTCAGAAAGCTTGGGTGGGGCCAGGGATTTAGCTCAGTGGTTTTGCTGCCTGCTGCGCAAGTGCAAGGACCCAAGTTCGATCCCCGGTACCAAGAAAAAAAAAAGAAAGCTTGGGTGATGGGTTGAGACACAAAGACAGTCAACAGGGCCCAACATGAGTCCTCTGTATTTTTGGCCCCGGCCAACCCAGCTAGCATGGAAACACAGGTCTGGAAGGGCACTGTCCCTGAAATTGGCACTCATGAGGACCCAGCATCCCCTGGAGGAAGTCTGGGGAAAGACAAGTACCCTGAATTCCATCTCATCTTCATTCTTTCTCATCCTGATAGCACACTCACCTCTGTCTCAGGTCGAGGAATGAACACTGGGGGTGCCATCTTCAGATTGAGCCCCTGAAAGTCCCACTCCCCAAGGATGTACTGTACAGGCATCCTGCAGAGGGAGCAGCCAGGTGGTCATCAGTGTCCAAGCCAGAACCAAGCCTGAGGTGAAGGATACCACTTGTGGCCAAAGCTGTCAAGCGAGGCCATGTCTCAGTGCCCTGGGACACTCAGCCTAAGCCTGTCTTCTCTCCCTTCCTATTTACACCTTGGTCATCTCTTGCTATTCTCTCACCCCAACACCTCCCTAGTCCTGGAGGGGCTGGGGCAAGAGAGCCCTCAGGGCTGACCCATGGGTGCTCACCTCTGCAATCGGCGGCTACATAGCTCCTGGATGCACAGCAGTTGTTGAGGAGTCAGGGGTTGGGTCCAAAGTACTGGCTGTAAGCTCTGAAACTATCCCAAGAGAGAATGTGAATAGCTGGTTCCCCTGGTCAAGGGGTCTCGACCCAAGGTTTCTTATGTGGACAATGCCCATGGGTCCACCACTGGCTACTTCAGTCATCCCTGAATTCCTAGTACCCAGCACACACTGTAACAGTATTTTGGAAGAACTAGTTAAGTACCTACCTAACACATTCTTTCAAATAAAGAAATCCCATCCATCTCAGCTAAGCACTCAATGAGGAAAACTCCAGATGTCTCTTCCCCAGGGTCCTCCTACCTCCCTCTTCCTATGCTCCTGATAACACTGCACTTAACTGTTTTGGCTCCAAGGACATGAGCCACAATGTATTCACTGGATTCTCGGGCCTCTGGGATGCCTCTCTTCTCAAAGACTCCTGTCCAGTGGCTGACTAGCTCTGTGGCATTCAACAGCCTGGGTAGAGGTGGACGGGGTGGCCATAAGCTGAAGGCCCGGCCCTGGGCGCCTCCCCTCCTCCCGCTGGGGCCAGACACAAGAGTCCACAGCATTCGACCCCAAAACCCCATGTCTTAGGAAAAGGCTTCTGAATGCAATGTCTTCTTTGTGATGTCAGCCACTGAAGTAGGTCCTGCAAATGGTCTCTGGCCTGGCTGTGTGGAGATGAAAGGTCACAGACTCTAGTTTGGCTCCCAAATGGCTTTGGTCCTCAAAGTGGTTGCCACCTTAAGGGGATGGAGGGGAGAAGCAGGAGTTGTCAAAGAAAGGGCATGCTCTTACTGTCACCTCAACTCTATTTAGACCCTCGCCCACCTATTTCATTCTTCTTGTCTTGGCTACTTACGTTTTCTTCACATTTTTGACAGAAGTAAGGTCAGTCTCTGTAGTTCAGTTTCTGTTAATAAATAGACTGGAGGTAGGACAGGGAATAAGTTTAGCAGTAGGACAAATCTGTGTTTGGCCCTAGTGCATGGGACCTCATTATTTCTGATTTTCACTTTTCCTCATCCATAAAGTGGGAGAAATACAGTACCAACCCCATGGTGAGGGATGCATTGGTCAATGAATGTCAGGAGCCCAAGAGCCAGCTCACTACACAGCAGGGATCCGATGCTATAGGCTCTAATATCACCTGTGGCAAGAGACTGCCTTGCTTGGGAGCTTTGTTTATGCCATTTTGCATGTACCGTCATTTGGATGCTGAAACTCTCCCTCTAATTTAACCCATAAGCCCAAACATTAGTATAAATTGCCAATTAAAACATTTTAAATGTTATATTTAAATTGTCACAAACAAGTTTAACTGACGGTTTAAAACCAGTTGTCCCTTTTACTTCTAGAAAGAATAAGGTCCAAACTAGTATCAAGCACTGCTAATTGCCACATCCTCAAAGAGAAACTGGCTCTAAGAGGAGACGTGACATGCCCAGATTCACCCAGCCAGGGTGGTCCCGGGAGGGACATGGACTTGAGTCTGCTGGACACTAGGGGCGACTCTGCCCATCTGTGCGCTACCCCGGGAAGAACCAAGCCCGAAGCCAGGGTTGCAGCCTCCTTTGCAGATCAGCAAGGATGTTATCAATGACCAAGGTGAGGTTACCTCTCCGAGTCTGTTTCCCCAACTGTACACGGCGCGCCCTTCCCAATCCCCACCTCTAAGACCTACCTGCCACAGGGGCTGTCCCGCCCACCACCGACCCGAGAAACCGCGTGCAACAGCTTCCTCCCGGACGTGCGTAGCCTGCAGTGGCCCTCCGACTCACCACTTCCGGGTCGGCGCAGTTGAGAAAAAGCTCGGGCAGACCCTGTCGCCCCGCTTCGGAGTTCCTAACGCCACTGAGTTAGGGATGTATCTGGAGTACACATTTCTAGAGGGGTCTTTCTTAAGGTCACCACAGGGGTAAATTCCAGCCCAGAGCAGGCGTTCAGGGACCAAGGTGGGGAGACGTGGGTGGGGAACCTAATAAATAATAGGCCGGGACAGGGGCGTGAGGGCGGGGTCCAGTGTTCCCAACCAGGCTGAGTGCAGTGCCCAGCAGGGGGCAGCCGGCGACCCGACCGGAGACCGGCTCTCGACCTTGCTCCCGTAGAATTTGGAGCCGGCACCAAAACCGAACGCCTGAGAACTGGGTTCGAATTCTAATTCTGCTGGCCACTCGCACGGCTTTGTCCAAATGCCCAGATGTCTCTGGGTCTCGGTGTTTCCTTCTAAAATATTCATAGCATTGTCGCGCAAGTATGGCTTGTCGACACCTCCTCCCAGAATCTACTGAGAAATAATCACTGTTACCCAAACTACAGTTAAAAACGTGGTTTCCAGGTTCCCAGCCCAAGGAGTCGCGGGGATATGCATTTGTACCCAGCTGCGCCGCGATCTCCATTAGCTCCTTAAAAACATCCCCTTAAGAGGGTGTGTGGCGACTTCCCCCTGCGACGACAGTGCTGCAAATGGAGCGACGGTGAGGGATGCAGGTAGCTCGCCTAGTCGAGCTGCTGGATGATGCCACAAGGATAATCTCACCGTGCACCCTCTGAGCCCCATTTCTAACCCAGGGTTGGGGTTACTTACCAAAAGCCCTCACCCCACACCCCCCAAGAAGCAGGAGGCCGAGATACAGGGAGGGGAAACAGCTTGCTCAGGGTGACAGTCGTGCAGCCCCAAAGACTCCCAGTCCAGCGCTCTCCCGAGCCTCTTCAATACGTCTGCGTGGTTGTCTGGGGTTGTCTTCGGGGGAGGGGGGGGTCTGTCCCACTGCAAGTGCAGCTGGCCCGGAGTCCGCGTTGTGGTACTACCGTAAGTGGTTGAGGCATGGTGTCAAAGACCTGAGACCTGGCTTTCGGCTCCCGACTCCCTCTAGGGGCGGAGCCATATCCAAGTGACAGGCGAGTGAGCCAATGTTGAGCGGGCACTAGGCGTGGTAACCAATCAGGGGCCGGAGTGCGGAGAGGGTCGGAGGCCGGGCGCTGGAGTTCCGGGGATCCCCCCAGGCCGCTCGGCCCGCCCCACCCCATCGCAGCCCGGCCCTGCCCACCCAGCCCGGCCGAAGGTCGGCGCTCGGCCACTAGCTCGACTGTCCAGGGAGGGCGGATTTCGGGCTGAACTGTCGCCCCCACGCCGGGCCTGGATGTCCCTCCTGCCCTGGCCTCCCGCCCTTCGCCACCACCCCTAGCCTCTCTGATTGAGCTCGGAGTCCCGGAGAGGATTAAGTAAGTGCTGAGGTCGCCGGTTCTGTGCGAGAATGGATGAATCCCAGGGTCATGGAGACGGGCATGGGATTGAAGCAGGGCAGATGGAGGGACTTGGCAAAGAATGGCTTGAGGGTTCTCGAAGGTCGCTGTGCCGACCCCTTCCATGCCGTTTTCCTTCCCTTCCCTTTGGCTCCAGGGGCAGGCCCAGAAGGTGGCCGGCAGGGTTCCTTCTCCTTTGGCTGGAAGAGTAAACCCAGCCCCAGCGCACGTTAAGGATGTGGCCCAAGGTCATGCCTGGTGTCAGTGGCAGAGAATAGAGGAGAACCGGAGACTTTACCTAGCCTAGCTGGAGCAAGAAGGCCAAGAGGGATGGGTCTACACTACCCATTGTCCCTCTGTCAACCTTGCCACTCCCTAAGGGCTGTCATAGATATGTGCATATCTCAGACACACACTCATGCACCTGCACAAGGAGGCATCCATGTATAACCATGAGCAAGTTGCACAGGGAGGCACATGTGCCACCATGAGCTATGAACCTCTCCTCTCTCTAGGCCTGCCCATCTGCAGAGTGGCTGGCATCCCTTCTATCCACCTTCCCAGGGGCCTTCTGGGCTGGGCAACTCTCCTGCTCTCTGCTTAGAGGAGGAGGGAAGGTAAGAAGGCAATTCAAAAGCGGGAGCTCCATCCTTGCCCTTGAAGATATACTCCCCTTGCCTTGTTCCTTGTCCCTAGAAACCCCCAGCTCTCCTGTGAGGGAACAGGGGTCCAGTGGCCCTCAAAAGCCTGCAGAAAAGCCCTGTGATGGGACCTGGCCCAGCCTCTCCTTCCTGTCTCCTGGTCTGTGCACACATAAGTCTCCACCCCCATGCTAAGCACAGACTGGACCAAATAGCAGACTGGATCTGGGGTCTCTTGCAGAGCTCCCTTTGTAACTGGGTTGGCCAGAGAAAGCAGATGGAACATTTACTGGATGTTCACCAGCAGTGAGCTAGGTCTTTTCTAGGGACCTGTTCATTCTGACCTTTCAGTAACCTGTAATGCTATGGATTTTTCTTAACACCTGCACCTTAGACTCAGGAAAATCTAGACACAGTTAAGTGACTTGCCTAGTTAAGTGGCTGAGCCAGAACTGGATTCAAACACAGGCCTGTCTGAACTCCTAGGCAAGTGTTTCCCTCCAGGGAAAGAAAAAGCTGCAGTTTTTTCCCCAGGCAAGATGAAGGATATGGGGGATCGGGAATGAGGAGGTAGGGATAGGAGGAGACAGAGGTTACTATACAGGGGAGGGACTTTTTCTTTCAAACATCCCCACTACCTTTCCTGTCTTCTGGGTATGATCACTATGAATATCTTATCTACAGAGGTGTTAGGGTTCCATTTTCATGTTCCAAATCCTCACAAAAACTGTACATATAGAAAGCCTGTGTCCTGCTGTCCCCTGAACTTACCTTTGACTTTGCCCTAAAGCCTTCACTTCCCCAGTGAATTCAGAAAAATGTTGTTTATCTCATGGCCATATCCCTGTCCTTAGTCTCAGTCTTTTTATTCTTAATCTTTTTATTCTTTCCTTTTCAGGACCTGGGGACACAGGGGGGGCTCCCTTTATCAAGGAGGCCACCATAGGTGGCAGGAGCCACAGTCTGGGGCACTCCTGATGTCAGAAGTAAGTGGGCAGGTTGACTTACCACGGACATCTCCCAAAATCGGCATGAACTCCAGGATCCCATCTGCTCGAAGCTGGTTCAGCAGCCACCCACCCACCACTGAGCCTGACCTGGAGCCTGCCACTGATGGACCCACCTCTGAGACCCTCAGCCCAGAAGCCACAAGCTTCAATGACACTAGAATTTCTGATACAGCTAGTGGTGCAGCCGGTGTGGGTACCATGCTTCTGTCCTTTGGGATCATCACAATGATTGGCCTGGCTGTGGCCATGGTGAGAGCTGGGGCAGGCTGGGGCTGGCCCAGAGGCATTGCATTGAGGGAGGGTGGTCAGTGTTTAGGGTTATACAGAATTCAATCAGAAGACAATTGTCTATTAGCAAGAATGCAGTCCACCCTCCCCAACCCCCTGAGTTCTGTCTATTGGGGCCCAGAAACCAGAGAGGCAATTCTTGAAAGAACCAGAAATGATTCTGAAGGATATATGGTATTTTAAGCTGGGTGATGAGGGCCACGTAGATTTGGAGAAGAGGGTGTTCCACATGAAAGATCTTGATGGGCAAAATGTGAAGGGAAGCAGGAGGGTCTGTGAGCAGCAAGTAGGATAATGAGGAAAGTGAGTGTGGGGGTTGCAGTAGAACTAGGGGCCCAAAGGTGAGTGGGATGGATTGTGGGATCCAAAGTCCAGGGAGGATGCTGTGTACATGGCATGCTGTTGCCGGTGTTCCTTCATTCATGCCCTTGACAAATGTTTACTAGGTATCTGCCCTGGACTAGATCTCTGAGCAGGGGAGATAAGGTCCTGCCCTATAGTTTTTATAAGTAATGGGTTAAAAAGAAAGAGGTGTTTTCTTGTTGTTGTTGTTTGTTTTTATCTAGGTTGGATGGCCTGGGGCAGCTAGGGGTCAACCTTAAAGGTGAGACTTGAGGAGGGAGCCTGGCCTCCATCCCATGAGAGGAACAGACTCAGGCAGCTATCAAAACAGAGCTGGAGAGAGGGCTGTATGTATACCCCTACAGTGATACCTAGGCACTCACAGTGCTACTAAGGGACTGCTGGAGATTGTACAAGCTAAAACCAGAGAAGGTGGGGATGAACCTGAGGTCCCCCAGAAGGCCTGGCCATGGTGGTGTTTTGTCCATTGCCTCTTGCAGGCTGTGGTTTCTGGCCTTAGACTCAGAATGTTGCTGGGACAAATAAGCTGAGATGGTCCACCTGTGGCCTGACTGGAGCTACTGTTAAACCAGGGTCACCATATGGGCCCTGCAGGCTCCAGACCACTGCCAGGGAACAACTGCTGGTTGGTAGGCAGGGCTAGGATGTAACACATACTGTGCAAAGCCAGGGCTGAGAGGTCTCTTGGGGGAGGAGTGAGTCAGGAGGCCTTGGCACCCGCGTGGAGATTAAGCAGACTGAGGCGCCCCAGGCTCAGGGGCAAAATGACTAGAATTTGCCCTTGTTACTCTCAGCAAAAGATTTTGATTTGGGAACCTGGTAAAGTCACCTTGCTCTTTGTTCTAGGGGAACATTCAGAGGATCAGGGTAGATGGCATTCCAACCAAAGGTGAGAAGGCTATGGGACAAAGGCAGTGGAGAATAGTAAACAGCTCCAGGACAAGGGCATAAGGCATCTACAGGGGGTACCTGAGCCAGCCTATGAGCACAAGGAGGTCCAGACCAGTACCAGGCTCATGCCTTACACAGCAAGAAAAAGAGCTCAGTGTGGGTGGGACCAGTGGGGGAAGGCTTCCTGGAGGAAGTGGGAAGGTTTGGACTGGAAGTGGGTAGGAGTTAGCAGTTGGGGTGAGAGAGCAGCAGAATTAAGGAGTGGAGATTGGATGAAGGCCTTTCCTGTAGATTCTTCTGAATCACAGGCCACAGGGGAGGGAGGAGAGTTTGGGGAAGAGGCCACAAGGAGAAAGGGCACAGGGTACTGCAGTGGGAGCTGTTTGCCGGGAGTCCATAGGGACTGCCCCAGAAGGCCCCAGAGCTCCTGTTGCATATACCCACAGGAGAGCAAGGGACACCCACAACATGGACCCCTATGGGAAATGGAGGAGGAAGGGAAATACTACATTCTTTCCAGGCTTTTGGGGTCCTGCTGGAGGAACTCTGGGCCAGCTTGGGAACTAAACCAAACTGTGCATGAGCTCCAAAGAGTATGGGAGCCACAGAAGGTTTGGGACAGACTCTAAGTATGTGGCTTTCCCAGGCAGAAACTGCCAGTTTGAAGAACAGCAGGATGGTGGCAGAGGTGTTGGAATCCCTGCACAGGGTAGACTCCTTAGTCTTGACCTTTCCTCTTCTCAGTGCTTGATACCAAGGCTTTCAGGTCCAGCCAGATGTTTTCTGACTGCCTATCTCATCACTTCGTATCTGCACAGTGACAGCCAGGATGGGGGCTTTCTTAGGTTCCTCCAGGGTCAGTGCTTTGGGGCAGTTAGCCTGGGCTGCTGACCCTGAGGGCTATCAGCCTCCCATGGGTCCCTGCCCAGAGCCTTGCCTAGAGCTGCTGCTCTGATTCGGCTGTTCCTTTTGCCTGTTTGTAGCTCTGTGCCTGAGGAGAGGTGAGGGAAGGAGACACACTCAAGTTTTCCCCTCTCACTTTGGCCCTGAGGAGTAACAGGTAGGTGCCGAGTGACTGGACACTGTCACAGACACAGTGACAGTCCTGCCCTCAGCCAGGATTAACTGTGGATTTTGCAGGCCAGACTCCTGAGGACAGGTCTGGCCCCCACCTCTGCTTCCCCAGGCCCTGTCTGGGCACTGACAGCACTTAATGACATCAAACAGAGGAATGAATAAGGGATGTCTGTGTTCCTGGGATGGGCCCCATCAAGACATGGGGCCTATGGACGCATGGTCTCCCCCCTTTCAGCCTCAACATGCCATCCATCTTTGGGCCCTTCTCAGTCAGCTGAGACCTCCTTTCCTCGCCTTCTCATGCTGCTCCTTCTCTTGCAGGTTTTCTACATCAGGAAGAAGAAGAGGTAATTTCCTAGCTGCCATCTGAAACTCCAGCCAGTGGGAGGTGCTGGGCTGGGCTGCAGGGGACATGGGCTCCTCTCCCTGTTCAGTCAGGATCTCTTCTGCTCACTCAGGGATGGGGGTGACCATGTTCCCTCAGGAAAGAGTGAGGGCCCCCACCAGGGTCTCATCCACAGGGCAGGCAGATGTGAAGATTGTAGGTAACCAGAAGTAACCCTTGAATTGGGATGGGGAGAAGAGGAGAGAAGGTGGGAATTACCTTCACCTAACTGCCTGGCACCCTTGTCCTGCTGCCCTGAACTGATTGCCACTGATTCCCTTCCCCCAGCCCAGTCCCCAGAGGCTGTGGATTGCAGCAAGACCCTGACTCAGGCTATCCCTGGAGGCCTAACAGCCAAAAGCCACATGGCCCATGGCTCCACCCAGGGTGGAATCACTAACTGTTCCTTCCCAGGCCACCCATCTGAGGACCAGGGCTGGTACTATAGGTACCAAAATGTCTATCATTGAATCCCAAGGGAGATCTGGAGGCCCTAATCATGGTTATGTGCCGAGGCTAGGCTAGCTGGTGGGCAGGACCTGGAGGGCTAGTAGGAAAGAGGAAGGGCCTGCCCTGTCCTCCAACAGCCTCTGCTCCTACCACCAGGCTGGAGAAACTACGCCACCAGCTCATGCCTATGTACAACTTTGACCCCACAGAGGAGCAAGATGAACTGGAGCAGGAGCTGCTGGAGCATGGGCGGGATGCAGCCTCTTTGCAGGCAACGCAAAGCAAGGTGGGCGTGATCAGGCTCCCCACCCACCCTGCAGTCCCTTGTGCCTCCTCTACCCTACCTTCCACCCTTTCCATGCAACCTGCCAGCACCTGCCAGGTGGTCGGGTGGCAGCTATTGGGTATATGAGTCTGGTCAGGTCTGGTAGAATTAATTGCTCCGTGGCCACTAACAGACTCACTGCACAAGGCCAGGCCCAGAATAGCCCTGAGATCCAGGTTGGCTCTGCCCTAATAGCTCTCATTTGCTGATCTCCAAAGTCCTATTGGCATTTCTGAGCCTAGTTTTCTCATCTGTGAATGAAAATCCTACTTCTGCTCTATGTACCCCCACATATTGACTGAAAAAGACAGAAAGGACTAATAGCAGAGATTGTTGGGGCCTGGGACCCTGGGTTCCTCTGCTCCCTGAGGGCCCATAGTCCCAAATCAATTGCAGATGAGGTCAGACTCTTGAGCAGTGGCATCTCCAACTAGGTTGGTGGATTCCTAATCACTGTCAGGCCCCAGGCACATGGAAACCCCAGCCAAACTCACTTCCTATATCCAAAGGGATGGGTCCCTCTCTTGGCATCCTGCCAGAGTCACTGGCTATCTGATCACTTGCCACCATTCCCTCAAATCACTAAGGGCTTTCAGGTCCACCAAGTCATGCAGAGGCTGGGCCATCCCTGACCCACCTAGCCTTTGCATCTTTCTGGATTCAGAATGAATTCAGGCTGGGAGTCAGGGAACTCCTTGATTTTGCTGCCAGTTCTGTGTTACCGGGGTCAGGACACATTGCACCCTTGGGTGTTTAGAAAATCACACTGAGAACCTTGGTCCACCCAGCCTGCGAGACTGCTGGTCATTTGACAGTTGTTTCTCATGAACCTCCCTGTAACTGATCCTCTGCTAGGGTGGGGTACAGAGGTGAGGTTTCCCCTGCTGGGAGAAGGAGGTACATGCATAATTCATCCTGCAAGAGAGCCCACAGGAAGTGCGGCCCAGGTGATGGAGCAAGCAGGGACATCTGTTGGGGAAGGAGTCAGCCAAGGCAGGTCATATTTCTAGGCTGAGCTGGCAGGGAGGCCATTCCAGGCAGGAGGCAGAGCTGGTGCCAAACACAAGGAGGCTCCAGGAAGTGAGTCTGGAAGTGACTGGGCCAGAGAGTGCATAGCCATGGTCATGATCTCTAATGCCCCTGCCTGTGTCCTTGCAGAGCACTCTTCCCTCCCAGGGCTCTCTGCAGAGGCCCAGCCGACTGGTGTTTACTGACGTAGCCAATGCCATCCACGCGTGAGTGGCCTGAGGTCAGGCCTGGACCTCTGATAAAGACACCTGCCACACCACCCACAGAGCCACCCACTCACTATCTGATTGTCAAGACTATTTTCAGGACCTGCCCTACCAAGACAGAAAAAGGCTGGCCAGCCCCAGCTGTTCTGCGGACCCACCTGCTGACTCTCCAAGCTGGCCATCTGGCCACTGACCTCTCCTGACCCAACAGCCCTGGCATGGAGGGCATCCTTCATGCTAGGCAGATCCAGAGCCACTGCTGGCTTCCTTTTCTCCTGGCCACACCCCTCACATCAATGCCTGCTTCTCTAATGTGGAAGAAATGGGGAGAGGAAGGCTCCCCTCTGCCAGGGAGAGACATGGTTTCTTGAATCTGGGACTTCCTTTGGGTTGAAAGAGACCACTACCCAGGTCATGGAGACAGGGTAGGACAGCACCTGTTATAGCCCCTGAGAGGCCCAGGATGGAGCTGAAACTTCCGGTAGGCAAGATGCCAGAAGAGCTGCTCATACCCAAGGTCCATCAATTACAGAGTATCCATGAGGTCTCCCAGCCACCTATCCCAAGTAGCCAGCTGTCTGCTGTGCCCAAGGATGGGTGGAAACGGAGAAGGAATTGGGGGAAAGGACGTGGAGGGATGTAGCCCTGAGACTTACTGAGAGGCCTCACGTACATACACTATTGGGCCCAGAAGCAGACACATGCCTGTCCCAGTACAGAGTTAGGGGACAGGATGGAGACCTCTGCATTGGCTCCACCCTCCAGACCCACCTCCATGCCATTGTATGCAGTAGGGCATCAGGGTAGGCCACTTCCTCTGACTTCTGCAATCAGGAGTGACAAGGAAGAGGGAAGCAAGGCCAGATTCGGTCGTCCACTGCATTTCTTCACTGGGCTCTATTCTTCACTGGGCTCCCTGTCCATATCAGGATCTGGGGCTCAAGAAGAGGTCTGAGGGCAGTAATCCTAGGCTGTAGGCTAATGGAGAAGTTCCTTCTACCTGAAATGGGGTCCCTTTTGGGAAAAGAACCTAAGAAGCCTAGTCTATGTTTTAATTTTACCCCATCTGTATGGGAAGATCTCAGTGTTTGTCGAGTGGGGAAGAAGGTCTCTGTACTTGGGCTCCTCTTTAGCATTGGAGGGTAGCAGCTGATGCCAGTGGGATTTGGGCAGGGCATTGGGCAGGACAGACCTCAAGGACTGGGCGTGCATGCACTCATGAGTGTTCACAGAGGCATGTTCCCATGCCCTGCCTCACCACCATCACTGTTCTCCTCTGCTCAGAGGGGACATAGGGTGGCACAAACGGATCTTCCATTGGACAAATACCATGCATCAGGAAGTGACAGCCTAGGAGGCCCTGTGGGGAAGGTTCTTAATTTATTCGCTCCTCTAGATGCTATAAATACATTAGCACTTGGGCAACTGGAGGACTATGAGTAATTTAGGATGCACAAAAAGCTGTAATTTAACTCACAGTATCTCTATGTGAGAGCATTAAAGATGTAATTAAGATGTTTACATGAAGAGAGTGCAACTTGTGACACTGAGGGTATGAAACCTCAGAAGGGGACCCGATGGGGGAGGGGCTGTGGGAGGCCTGGGGATAGTCACTTGGATCCTGGATATAAGGTGGCAGTTCCTTCATCTGTCTGAGAAAAGGCTTCTGGCCCTGAGTTCAAACTCGGCCACTCTGGGGTCTTGTGTCTCAGCTGTGGATTGGGGTCACAATGCCTTTCACTTCCTAGGCTGGAGAAGTCCTTGTGGGACCAAGGAAGGGAGGAGGCTTCAGCCCCAAGGATGGGGTTAGGGGTAGGAGTGGTTTGACACCTTGGAATCCACTGAAGCTGAGTCAAACATAAAAGGGAACAAAGTAACATGGTCTTCCCTGGAGCACAAGGGCACAGGGTATAGGTGAGGGCTGAGAAGCCATAGGGTTGTGTGTGTGGAACTCATCTGTGAGATTCAGAAAGTTTTGGAGAAGAATGACACTAGGATGACCATCCTGGTTTTCTCAGGAATGTTTCAGTTTTGGTACTGAAATTTCCACAACCCAGTGACTCAAGTGAGCCTCCAGAGAGCTGAGCCTCAGACTAATGTGGAAACAAGGTGTGTGGGGGAGACCCCAGGTCTATGATGGGGAAGGAGCTGCTGAACAGGGCCTCAGGTAAAGCTGAGGACCAAGCATCCCATGGGCTGCCCACATGAGGGATAACTAGGCCTGGCAGTGATAGCTTTGCTCTTGGGAAGGAGTCTCCTTCCCTTAGCAGACTGGCAGGATCCCTGAGGGGCCTGGTATGGAGGGTAAGCTGTGTGTTCCACCCTGCTGGGCAGCCCCTCAGTCCAGAAACATGGGCGCTGCAGAAGACTTGGTGTCTGAGGATCCTCAAGGAACAGGGTTTCTGGAACAAGGCTGGTACTGAGGAGCCTCCAGGGGACCATACCCTTGTTTCTCACTGCCTGCCTCAGACCCCTTTCCTGATGGGTGGACCTGGCTAGGGGATGGATACAGGGCTGCCATCACTGTGGGCTGTCACCTCCTCTTCCCTTCTATCCATTTTGTATTTTCTAGCTTTTCTTGTCCATGCCAGAGGAAAACCAAATTACGTTGAATGTGGAATTGATAAATATTGGGGTGAAAGACTTGATGAGTTTGCCCTCAAGCCTGGGGAACTGACTAGGGCTCTCCTCACAGCCCTCTGCCAGGAAGATAGGTGAGAAGGGCTACCCACTGCTAAGGCTTCTGCAGTTAACTGTTACTTGAAGCCCTCAAAAAGGACCCTGCCCCCCCCCCACAGTCTTCTGTGAATGAGAACCACTGATAGTGACCAGGGCTTCAGGCCAAAGGCAATGGTAGTTTGCTGTACATGACATCTTCAAAGGAGGGTAACCTCTTAGCCTGTCTTGGTAGTGCACTCATGGTAGTGTCATGGAGTACTCTGGGAAGCTGAGGCAGGAGGATCATAAGTTCAATCCCAGCCTGGGCAATTTAGCAATTTGGCAAGATCCTGTCTCAAAATAAAAAATTTTAAAAGGCCTGTAGGTGTATGAAGGTCCTGGGAGGGTTCAAACCCTGATACTGTACTGAAAAAAAAAATAAGTCATCATCTTGTTTAATATGGTGAAATGTCACCTTCAAGCCAAAGTAGACAAAGCAGTCCCATCACCTGGCAGCAGGCAGACAGTGGGACGCTTCCAGAATGTAGAGGAAAGTTGTAATGAGGAGAGCCCAGAAGCTCCAGCAGTGCTCTGACCATGCTATGGACTCCTTCCAGAGCCATGACTGAACCCTGCGTGAGCTTAGTACCACGGCCCATCAGTGAGCCCACCCATACCTGCATTTCATCCTAGGCCAGAGAAGACATCAAGTAGGGGAAAAGAGTCTTTGGGTATTGTGTGTAGGTACTATATTTCTGTATATATAGAGCTGTTTGCAAAAGGAGCCAGGCATGGGGCTGGGTATTCCTGGGTGGTCAGAGGCTGGGACAGACACCCCTACCTATCCTGTGCATCTGTGGCCCTCAGTGGGCCTCAATACAGAGGACCTTGGCTGAGGCTATCTGGGGAAACCCTAAGACAGGCTGGCCATCTCCATCACCCTGGCATCTGAGGGCTCAGGATGGGGACAGAGGCAGGTGCGGCATCTATGGCCACCCAGAGCACACTCTCAGTGGACATACCAAGAAGTGAACAAGGAGTGTGTGAGCATCAGGTGTGCAGGGAGGGCTGGGAGGAAGAAGGAGAGAGCAGGTAGACCAAGCAGGATGAGACCAGGCTGCCATCCCATCTGGGCCTGGATATGCCCTTAGCATGCTCTCCTCCCCATCCCCAGAGCTCCTCTGTAATGTCCCTATGATGTCCACACCCCAGGGCTTTTCCTGCAGTAGCAGAACAGGGCAACTATCACTGCTCCCCAGTGACATCTGAGTGTTTCCCACACACACACACTCCTGAGGGAGGGAGGTAAGAGCAGCAATGTGCAGGGAGGGACAGATGGGAAAGGTCTTCTTCATTCCAGAGGTAAACCCAGAGTGAGAGCCTCCATCCAGGAAGGAGTCCATGATAGGAACAGAGGGCCAGGTGGCACTGAGTGCTGTCTGGAAAGGGAGTTTCCTTTTCCCAACCTCTGGCCTAGACAGGAGTGTATCAAAGACCTTCCCTGGACAGGGGACGAAGCCCTGCTTCTCAAATCCCTCCACCCAGCTCCACGGGCCCATTCTCTCTCAGGGTTAAGCTGAAAAGGTGAACCTCTGGGATCCTGGAAAAGCCTGGAATTTCTGTGTGAGCTGGGGGGTCATGGAGGAACAGGGGCCTGGAATGTCTGGAGGTCCTCAGCCTCAGGGTTTCTCTGGCTGATGTTACTGAGTTTGAATCTGGACAGAGAGGAGAGTGGTGAAGCATTTTCTCCTACCCAGGGGTTTACAAGGTCTTCCTCCGTGAGCCAGGCACTGCTCAGCCCACAGCTGGAGCTTGGATGAGGGCCTGGAATCCAGCTAGAGGGATGGGCAGAGCTGGGGCTTGCGTACCCTCTTGATGGTGACATGCTATGATGGGGGACAGGGCAGGTGAGGAGCTGTCTCCTAATCTGGAGCCACTGACATGGAAGACCCAAAAGCCCCTGACCTTAAGCTACTTTCATAGGGACTGTTATGGCTTACATCTAGATGTCCCCCAAAGCCTCATACACTTGCATATAGGACTGTTGGGAATGACTGGATCATGGATGTGTGATACTGAATTAGTCTACTGATTGGTTTAGCATACTTCTGGGTGTAAGTGATGGACTTACTGAAGAGGGAAGACACCCCCCCGCCAGGGATATGGGTGGCACCAACCAATAGGCTTGTAGCCTGGATGGAATAAAAAGGGAAAGAAGAAGGAGGCTCAATGCCTCCTTCCTACCCTGCCATGGACTGTTGCTCCTGTGCCATGCCTCCCTCCCTTGAACCTAGCCAACTATAGCCTGAAACCTCTACAAACTGTAAACTAAAATAAACCTCTCCTCCTTTAACTTGTGGCTGTCAGGTATTTTGTCTCAGCAATGAGAAAGTAAGACAGGGCCCTTCCCCTGGTTATCCTTCACCTAGCTGCTCTCTGACCCCTCAGGACCTTTAAGCCTGGCTCCTCCATGCTCACCTTTAAGTTTTGTCTTAATCACTCTTCCCTCTTTAGTATAAAAGAAGGCAAAATTCTGGGGTTGGCCCAGCCCCTGAGTCCCTTGATCCCACTCTGGACTTAACCCATGCCTCTCATGAGCATGGCACTGAGAGTAGCTGCCCATGGGAGTCTCTAGGTCTCCAACCTCCTGGCTCTGTGCACAGGACCTACTCCCTGCTGGGCTCTCCCTGTCCCCTCATTTAGTCCTTGTGGTAATCATTAGCCCCCTTGTACAGAGAAAGCACAGAGGGGCTCAGAGAAGCAGTGGGACTAGCCCCAGTCACACAGCTGAGAGGTGAGATAGCAGGATTGTGGAGCAGAGCTGGGGGAGAGCTTGAGTACAATCCTGTACCATCCATCACCCCATCTGCAGAGCAGATCCAGTGCCCAGAGACCGGGGCCATCAGGCTCAGAGCTGGACTAGGGCATCTACACCATTCCAGAGAGGGGGATTGGTGCCCGACTAGGTAGCCAGTGAGTCCTGCGGTTCCCCAATCTCCTTCCAGCCCCTGATCCAACCTATGCCACCACCTACTTGTGGTTCCAGGCACTGCCACTCTTAGCCAGGTCTGCTGCATGGCCTGGGGGCTCCACTGGTCTTCCCTCTCCTCAGCCCTCAGCTTCTCCCCCATATAGTTGCACAGAGACCCGCCTGCAGGCCCAGAGCCTGAAACTGTGACTCACTCAGCTGAACCTGAATGGTGAGGTGAGTGAGATAGGCCTAGGTTTCAAATTTTAAAGAGCTACTCACCCCAGGGGCTGACACTGCACTGCCACCAACCTGAGTGTGAGCACCTCCTCATGCTCTGTGTGAGGGCTCTTCCCTCAGCTTACTGCCTCACCATAGTCCTGACCTGCTGCCCAGCAAGCCAACCTCAACACTCCCACCCCACCCACTGTCCTGCCAGCTGGCTGCAGATGCCAGAGGGCCAAGCAGTGGGAGTGTGGCTAAACCCTGCCCTGGCCAGAGCTCACCGAAAGATTTTATACCCAGAGGAAGCTGAGAACACCAGATTATGAGAGATTTAAGGGATTTATCACTGGCTCAATAATAGGTCAATAAAATGACACCCCAAAGGCTGGGCAAAGGAGGGCAGGATTCCTGCTACAAATCCCTAAGCATGGGTAAGTTCCGAATTTGGAGTTTGTGCAACTCCTGGGGCACTCCCAGACTGAATTGGAGCCGATTGAATCTCTCAATAACCCAGAGGGCAAGCACCCTTGTGTCCCATATTACAGGTGGTGAAACTGAGGCACAGAACAGGAGGGTTGCTTAGTACATAGTACAACTTGAACTTGACCTCCGAACTCACTTCCAAGACTCTCAAAGAAAGAAAGAAGATTCTCTGAAGACAGAGCAGCTC